ACGTTCTATTAACTATAAGTAACTTTGTAACTATATGTCAACTACATGTCAACTAATTCTCAGAGTAGACTGTTAGGGTAGGTTTAGGGTTAGTAGAATGTTGACAAAGAAAGTGTTAGAAGATATTAAGCAGACAGTCTACTAATACTCTACTAACTGCTAGTTGACATGTAGTTGCAAAGTTACTTACTGTTAACAGAATGTCTAAAGTGGACTATCGAAATAAAGTGTTACCATTAAATGTTATCATTTTAATTTTAATTTTGAAATGTGGGTGTATTCCTGATTCTGTGGTTAGAAACTAACAGAGAAAGCAAAGTTTATTGTGTAAACATTATATAAGCAAACTTAAATCTTTTGTGTTTGCATTACTAAAACGTAAAATCTTCAATCTCAGTAAATCTTTTAGTTTAAGGGATTTCTTCTCTTTCCGCATTACGCTTACCAAAACCTCTCAATATCAATATCTCTCACGCACACTTTAGCCGAAGAGAGGCCTGACAAAACCTCTGCAATAAACTCCCAATAAACCAACAATGGGCGTCCCCGTGGGCCTTTCTGGTTCAAATGCGGAGCCCTTCGGGGGCCCGGAGCAGAAGGCTGTTCATTGATCCCGTGAGAGTCAGGGAGATTATTGCCTGTGTAAGATAGACTCTCTCAAAAGAAGCTTGGCCTTTGTTCAGCGGGGGGATCTCACACACACACACACACACACACACACACACACTGTGATCATTATTTCATCTCGCCCTCTTGTTAGTCCACATTGGCGCTTTTCTTTAGCGCGGCTCTCCCTCGCCCTTCCCTTCCACAGCAGTGAGATATCTTTCATTAATCCTCGCAGGAATGTGGCTTTGGCTATGGGGAGGATGCCCAGTGTGTGCCCTGCAGAGCCAGTCGCTTCAAAGAGGACCGCAGCCTGCAGAAATGCAAGCCCTGTCTGGACTGTTCCCTCCTCAACCGCTTCCAGAAGGGGAACTGCTCCACCACCAGCAACGCCGTATGCGGAGACTGCCTGCCCGGGTGAGTCAGCCATAGGAACGCAATTATATAGAATAAAGGACGATGGGCGTTTTCCCAGACCACATGCTTAAGTCGGTGTATATTACACTCTTAAGAATAAAGGTTCGGAAGGGAGTTTTCACAGTGATGCTGAAGAAGAACCATTTGAGGTTTCTCAAAGAAACGTTCAGTTAGCAGTTCTTACCATTTTTAAAATAATAATCTACACTCTTAAAAATAAGGGTTCTTTTTGGCATTAATGGTTCCATCGAGAACCTTCAGCATCCATGCAATCTTTCCATTCCAGAAAAGATTCTTTATAGTGTTAAAAGGTTCTTTAGATTAATAAAATGTTCTTTACACCAAGAAAAATATGGTTCTTTTAGGAACTATAACTGAAAGGTTCTTTAGAGTACCAACAATGGTTCTTCTATGGCATCGCTGTGAAAACCTTTATTTTTAATAGTGTAAAGAACTTTTTCTACTATAAAGAACCTTTTGTGGAATGGAAAGATTCCATGGATGTTAATAAAGCAATAAGCCCCAAGAAGCCGTGGTTTACAGTGAATTTATAACAGCTAAGGAGCTGTTATAATCTATAACACCCCCTTAGCTGTTATAAATTCACTGTAAACCACGGCTTCACGGGGCTTATTGCTTTTATAAAATGGTTATTCCATATACGTAGTAAGGTTTCACAAAGTAAAACAGAGCAAATAAAGTGTAATGATATTAATAAAAACAGTATTCTTCCACCAAACAATGTAGTTCCTCAGAAACAGTTGTGGTTGCAATAAAGTGGTTGCCAAGCAACACACAAACGTAAACAAAGGTGTATGTTTGTACTAGAATAATTTACACCAGCTTCGAACGTGGCTCATCCAATCAGAATCAAGAACCGGAACTATCCGTTTTATAAAGGTTCTCAATCAATGTCAAAAAAATAACTTTTATTGACTCGGTTCTTCTCAAGAAAGCTTTTTAATCCCGATTGACATGAGTTACACGCCGCAAGTGAAGCCAAAGATTTCTCAGTTTAAAGTTCAGGTCAGGGAAATAAACTCAAGGCCCAGACATGCCCTCGAAGCTAAACCATGTCAGGTTTTTGAAGACCTGCTTTTCGCTTTCGCTGCAAGAGATACTAGTTTCCCCACAGAAGCATCCTGCTCTCACCAGATAGGTTTTTTAATAACTTTTGATTACCCATAATTAAGTGCTTTGGCACAGTACGACATGCTGAAGGCAACTCTTCACATTACCTTCAAAGTTCATCTGCATCATTTTAGAAAAATGTGTTCTTCAGGCTGTTATTGTAACTAATGCTGGAATATTTCTCGTATTGTAAAGCATAGTTTCCCCTGATTCATTAATTAGTGCTGTGAAAAAATGATTGCCCCTGATCCATATGTACATGTTCAAAGGGATTTGCTGCTATCAGAGAAATTCAGCTGAACAGCAAGATGAAATGCATATGTACGTAATCCAACAAATAAAAAATATCACAGACAAGAATGTGTCATTTATAAACACCCCGAGGTTCTATTGTAAAGTGGATTGCTGTAGACTTTAAATTGTGTTTGACTTCTAAAGCCACTTTTTGTCTATCCAGTTGTTTAATCGGCTGCAACAATAATGGGATGTCTTCTTTGACTTATGTTCAGTTGGTGGCTTTTCTCAGCAAATATTGTTCAGAAGTTTGGGGTCAGTAAAATATGTCTCTTATGCTCACCAAGGCTGCATTTATTTGATCAAAATTGCATTAAAAACAATAATATTGTGAAATATTATTACAGTTTAAAATAAATGATTTCTATTTTTAAAATGCAATTTATTCCTGTGATGAGAAGCTGCATTTTCAGCATCATTACTCCAGCCTTCGATGTCACATGATCCTTTTTGATTCGCATTATTATCAGTGTTGAAAACAGCTGTGCTGCTTTATATTTTTGTGGAAGCTGTGATACATTTCTTTTAGGATTCACTGATGAATAGAAAGTTCTTTTGTAACATTATAAGTAAGGAATAATTGACGGCGGGCCGTCTAATAATTCAACGGCCTGGAGTCAATTATTCCGCTTATACCATGGTTACCACACCTCAAGACATCGATCAGATGATATATTTAAAGGGATTCGTCCGGTTTTTGTACTTAAATCGCTATTGTGAGTAGGATTATTTCTTCCGCATCTCATCCAACGCCTCTTTTGCTAGTTCCAAAACGTCATTTTAAAGCTGGTAATGGAGGCTTGAGCCGTTGATAGCATTCTAATGCAGTTATTAATGAAGTTATTAGAAAGAGAGCGAGAGAGACAGAGACACAGAGAAAGAGAGAGAGAGCTCGTGTGAATTAGGCTACCTCTGTGCGTCCCTCAAGAGTGTTCTGCTGCAGCGTCTCTAAACAGCGCTGTTGTTACCTCGCTAGTGAGAAATGTCATGTGTAGCCTTTAAGTTGCTACACTATATAGGCTAACTTTTAATTGAGATATTTAATGCATCTTTGCTGAATAAAAGTGCTGATTTCTTTAATAAACTGACCCTAAACTTTTGAATGGTCGGGTATGCAGTATTATTTAAATAATTGTTATATGATGTAATTAGGGGTCATATGATGTGATTTCAAGTTTTCCTTTCTCTTTGGAGTGTTACAAGCTTGTCATATGACCCCTTTAATTTACATTTTGAATTGATTGTCATCCCCAAAATTAAATAATGCATTATCTATAATAATATTAATATGCATATAAAAATAAATTAATATGCATTTTATTCTTTCAGGTTTTACAGAAAGACGAAGTTGAGTGGATTCCAGGATATGGAGTGTATTCCATGTGGAGATCCGCCACCACCATATGAACCAAATTGTAAGCACATTTATTTATTACTGCTGAATGCAAACATATTAGAATCCTTGAGGAAAATGTCCAGTGGATTCATTTCCTTAGGAAAAATACATCGGCGTCAGATCTCAGTCATAGCTGATTTGGTAAACCTGGTAAACGTCATTTATAATGTCCTTAAAAGGTTTGTTTAGTGAAAACTCTGCCATCATTTACTCCCATGCGTTGTTATTTTAGTATCATTGAGATACTATTATATTTTTTATATAACTGTAATAATCCTCCTCTCATGCCATAACATAAAAGAAAATATTTTGATGAATGTCCTAGCCACTTTTTTCCATACCATTAACAACCATTGACTTGTGCACTATATTTCATGTGTCGTAACTGAATGTAGCGTGCCAGTTTGAATACATGTGAATGCGAGCTATTGTGGAGGGCAAGATTATCAATGAATGATGACTTCGGATTTTTATGGTGTTTTTTTGTCAATTTTTGGAGGTCTGTAGCCTCAGTTCTCTCTCACTTAGAATCAGAAACATGCATAAAGTACATGATGACAGATATTTTTAGTGTAATCCTTTAAAAGGGGTCATCATACAAACAGTTGCATTAATAATAATCTGTGAGATGACGACCCACTCAGTCTTGGTGATTCATACAGCAGTTTTACAATCAAATAAATGGCTCTTTTTTACAAGTCAGAACACAGGCATAGGTAATGAACATCTCTCTGTGTAACTGTTCGAAACTGCATGGCTTTCTTCTGCAAACACACACTGCGTATGTTAAACAAGTAGCGTTTCACAAAGCGGCGCATTGTTCTCCAGCAGTCTGTGGCGCTAATTGGGCTCATTTTACCCACTGTTGAGTGCCATTGTACGGAAGCTTGTGTCTTTGGCAGTTACGCAGGGAGAGACTTATACCTTCAGAATTAAGTGTGACTTCCAGAAGTTTAAGATGTTTGCAGCTGCTGCATGTGGAGATTTGCAGCATGTTTGTAGAGCAGAGTTTGAGCCAGGTCTAACACTCCTGCGCCAGATACATGGAAAGACGTCCTGTCACACAGGTCAGCTCGACCTCTGGATGTGAAGAATTCAATCTCTGTGTAAACTCTAGCTTATTATGTAATCATTAGGCACTACTTTTTGGTTTATTTTAGTAGTCTTTAGAGGAGAGGACACCAGTATGTTCTTTAGCTATAAAGTGTCTTTTTTTATTATTATTTTTTTTTTTTTTAGCATTTTTAAAATATCCATTTAAACTTTTGTTGTTGTTTTTGCAACAACAACAAAGTTTAAATGTACATAAAAATGCTAAAAAAAAAGGACACTTTATAGCAACACAACAAATGGACACTTTTTACAACAACAAGTGATAATCTGAAAAAATTAAATATCTGACTGCCATAAATTATTAAAAATAAAATAAAATAAAATAAAAAAGGGAATTATATGGAATTTAAAATGATTGGTCTTGGTAACCACACTGGGTATTTATTTTAATAACTGCCATAAAAAATATATAAATAAAGAATTAAAACTTTTAAATTAAAAATAAATTTCTTGGTTACTACATAGAGTAAGTCAAATAAATAAATAAGTAAGTAACTACTACATTACATTGAGTAGTTCTTTTAATAGCTACCATAAATTTATATATATATATATATATATATAATGATTTATCTGGTTTTCTTTTAATAATGGCCATAAATTATAGAATGAAATAAAATATAATAATACAGATTTTAAAATAAAATAAAATAAAAAGCTGTGGCTTCATACAGAAGATAAAAGGATTTCTTGGTTACTACATTAATTATTTATTTTAATAACTGCCATTAAATGATAAAATAAAAATAATAATAATAATAACATTATAAAATTGTGAGTTTACTATTGGGAATTATAGTGCATTTCAGCACGCAACAAGTGTCTGAATGCCAAATAGTTGACATGTAATTGTTGCTTGTCATTTGAAAGTTTTAAAAAGTTGCAGATATCAGAATGAGAAATTTTGCAGCCAAGTTTAAATAAATGTTCTTTTCGGACTGGGGAAGAAGGTTTTGAGATACAGTATATTTTCCTTTGTTTACGATGCACTAAGATCAGAACTTCAGGACCAGAACTGGTGTAAGTACTCAAAGCTGCTCTGACCCATTGTGCGTGCAAACGGCTGGAAAGACTCCCGAACGTTCCTCTCCTCCGGCATTATCTGACAGAGGGTGGTGAAAACTCAAAAGGCCTGATGGTTTTAATGGCCCCCACGTCGGCCCGGGGCGTACACGCAGCTGAGCGAGGAAGTCTGTCTTTAGAGAGGACCATAAATCCAGAAACACTCTGGTCTCCTTGGCCCATCCTGAGAGCGAAAGGAAGAAAACAGCATTTTATGGGTTCCTCTAGCTGCTTTAATGTGTTTCATCTGCTGCTGTCTTTTCTTGTCATGGGATAGCGCTAAATATTTGGCAAAGCCCCACACAGCTGTCCCATCTAAGCATCTGAACTGATGTGAAGCCAATTTATGAAGGGGTCACATGAGAGCCGGGCGGCTGCTGGGTTGGTAATGGGTGAGAGTAATATAAGTTGGCATTTTTACTTTTGCAAACACCTCTGTTTTAACTTGAACTAGGATTCGAGCCCAAAGCTACTGCATTTAGAAGCAGCCCAACATGAAAAGGGACCGTTGCTGCATGTGTTGAACTTGGATGTTTTTTTCATTCATAATTGTATTCATCTTCAGTCATGGGAAGATCTTTTATGTAGTGTATCTCTGTTACATATTGAAGAAAGCTTGAACCGCAAGAGTATGAAAGCAAACGAGTGGTTTGGTATTTGACCTGAAGGGGATTACATCACATTGGATCAGCCCATAGATCATAATTAGCGATTGCTTTCATGTTGGAGTCTCATGACTTGGTCACTGATGGACTTATTTGATTAGTCTGGGGTGCGATTGATGAAACACTACATAAAAGACAATCCTCTGATTAAACAGTACACATGAAAACAGCTCTGATCTAAAACCTGCATTGAGTTATTGGTAAAACCTGTAAATAATGTTTAAAATAATAATAATAATAATAATAATAATAATAATAATGTAACATATAATAATAATAATAATAATAATAATAATAATAATAATAATAATAATAATAATAATAATAATAATAATAATAATAATAATAATAATAATAATAATAATAATAATAATAATAATAATAATAATAATAATAATAATAATAATAATAATAATAATAATAATGTAACATCTGACAGTTAGGCCGATTGTTACAACAACAACAACAATAATAATAATAATAATAATGTAACATCTGATAGTTAGGCCGATTGTTACAACAACAACAACAACAATAATAATAATAATAATAATGTAACATCTGATAGTTAGGCCGATTGTTACAACAACAACAACAACAATAATAATAATAATAATAATAATAATAATAATAATAATAATAATAATAATAATAATAATAATAATAATAATA